CAGCTTGGCATAGTTTCTACTTGCTGGTCCCTAGCCACCAGTATCTGTCCAGTTCTCTGTGGAGAGGCCGTTGTTAAAAGCGATGGCTGCAGGTGGGTGCCAAAGGCAATAATTGCTCTTCATACTGAGCAGGAAGCGCCATTCTGATCCATCTGCTTAGGCCTTGTAGTAGCAATGGTCTGACACCGGGACAGGGAATGGCAGATTCCTGCAGAGCGTACAGATGCCCCTGAAGCCAGAAGCCAGATTAATTGATACCTGTGTAGAAATCAGTGTTGATTTATGCCAGAGCAGGTTGTAGGGAGGTTTTGCTATTGAACAAGGTATTTTGTGAGTCTATGTGAAGGTAACTATGGCTGGTTTCCAGGCTGGTTTTAGAGATGGACTACAGTCCATGTCAGAAGCTCTATATATAAAACGTCAAAATTATTGACCTGGGCAGAAAAGGTCAGCTGCAGCTGATCATAATGGATTCCTTCTGGCTTTAACAGTTTGACTTCCATTTGTGTTCCACATGCTGTCGGGTTCAGAAATGAATAATTTGTTCTCCGGGATACCAGTTGCTCAGAAGCAAGTGTGGAAGGCATCAGAGGAAATTTGGGACTGCTCACTCTAAGTAATGCATGGAGATAATGGCTATGTGGTATTTGTTTAACAAAACAAAACAAGACTCTTTGGAAGAGAGGGAGGCTTGCCTCTCTTCTTGGAAAAGGACGGAAACACCCAGCTGTTGTTTGAGGAAGCCATGGATGTGGGATGTGACCTGGCAGCAATCTGTCCTTGCCACAGTGGGATTGCGAAAACCCTTACTTCTTTACAGACACCAGTTATTATGCTGTAGGCTTTTGGGTGGGATTGAACCTGGGACTACACCCCTGTGCTCAGGTAGCAAAAGTATGAGACCTTTGACTTTGTTCTTTTGGCTGGAGCCTACCTCTTTGACTCTGACTTCTCGGTTCACCGTACTGATGCCAAACATCTGTGACTCTCGCTCTGTTTATTTATCTCTTTGTCAGGAGGTGAAGATCTTCCGTGCCTTAATCCTAGGGGAGCTGGAGAGGGGCCAGAGCCAGTTCCAAGCGCTCTGCTTCGTCACACGGCTTCACCGCAACGAGATCATCCCCAGCGAGTCTATGGCAAAGCTGCGGCAGGTAAGAGGCACTCTGTAGCTGGCTGCAGTGCCAGCTCCATCCCCCAGTCCGTCTGGGTTTCTTAGAGCTGTCCTGCCTGGATGCCCTTCCCAGGCAGCTGCCCGAGTGTTTGGCTATTAGACCCACCTTTGACCACCCCTCCTGCTTGGGGGACTCTGTATTAAACGAAGTTCATCAGTAGTATTGATCCTGTTCTGCTAATATACTAGAAGGAAGCATGATTTAGTTCAGTCTAGTCTGTGTCAAAGGGTAGGTGGATGGCTAGAGCAATCACCATGAAAATCCCTGCCCCACATTGCCCAACGAAACAAGTACTGATTTGGAACCATTCATCATGACAAAGCATTGAAAAACAATCAGAGGTACATCAGAATAGTAGTAAACTATCATCAGTTTCAGCATCAGCAAGAAGTTTAAGTGCCTTCCATCCAGATAGGATGCAGGTGCATTTACAGAGGAACATCCATTTGCACATCATCTTATGTTGCCGTGAAATCACAACACACTATAAGGAATAATTTGTTGCAACCAGGATTCAAGTTTTCATTATTTTATCCTCTGCAGAAAAATCCCAGGACGGTGCGGCAGGCTGAGGAGGTGCGGGGCCTGGAGCACCTCAGCATGGATGTAGCTGTCAACTTCAGCAAGGGGGCCCAGCTGAGCTCTCACATCCACAATGTCTGTGCAGAGGCCAAAGAAGCAATTTACACTCGAGAAGAAGATGTCAAATTTTGGCTGGAGAAAGGTAAGTTTCCTTCGGTTTCGTTGGAACTGCTCCTGTCAGCAATTTGGCACTCTGCTGTGATCTCTTCTGCCAGGTTTCTGGTG